GGCGGGTGGTAAAAGTGCCAGTCGGACGCGTCAAGGGGAAAACCGAGGAAGACGCAGGGAAGGGTGCGGGCAGTGAGCTTGTCCGTGCCGGAGGCACGGACGTGAGCAAGGCAGCCCCAGACGTGGAACGCAGACGCGTCACCAGGAGACCCAGTCCACAGACGGGTCGGCGAAACCTGCGGCTGCTGAGGGTGCGGCCACAGGTTAAGCTGGTGAGAAGCGTAGCGCACAGCGAACGGCCACAGAAAATGGGGTGCACCGGCATGGACCATGGAGGTGCGAGCGACCTCCATGACCAAGCCGATGTGTCGCTCAGCGACCCCATTCTGCTGTGGGGAGTCCGGTAGGGTGAACGTCTGGGTGATGCCCTCCGCACGACAAAAGCGACCAAGGACACCTGAGGCAAACTCGCCACCACGGTCTGAGTGAAGACGCAAGACAGGGAGACCGCGGTGGACACGCGCAGAGACAAGCCAGGGGATGAGGGCGCCAGGCACGTCGGCCTTGCGCTCCAGGGTAAAGACTGTGGTGTAACGAGTGAAGTCGTCGACAAGCACAAGGAAGTAGCGCTCGCGACGCGGCCCAGGGACGGGGGCGGGGCCCCAGACGTCCAGGTGCAGGGTCTGCAGCGGCGCGGCGGTAGGGGGGAACGAGGAGGAGTGAGGGGCACGGCGAAGCCGACCCTCGACACAAGGCGTGCAAGGTGGAGCTGGGGAGGAGGGAAACGCGGGGAGTGAACCTGGGAGACCAAGGACAAGACCGTGCTGGGACATGTGACGCAGACGCGGGAGCGCAGGGTGACCTAGGCGGTGGTGCCACAGGAGGGTCGGGTGAGTGAGGGAGCGACAGGAGCAGGCAGCAGCAACCTGGGTAGACACAGCCACCTGAGGGGGCGCTCCAGCCGGGGGGGCACGGTGTCCAGAGTGAACAGGCCGGACACCGGGTCCCGGGGGAACGTGGACAGGGGGGCACCAGTGGCGGCCTCGGTACAGACAGCATACCGCTCGTGACCAGGGAACGTAGTGGTGACGCCAAGGTCCTGGAGGCAGCCGACACCAACTAGGTTCCTGGAGAACGAGGGGATATGCAGACCTGTAAGAGAGCCCGAAGGAACCGCCGGACAGGGAAGGGTGGTGGAACTGCGGGCGACTACCGGGCCGCCGGAGGGGTCAGCAAGAGAAACGGCAGCAGGAACAGGAAGCGGCGTCAGGGTGGTGGAGTCGCGGAAGAAACACCGAGAGGCGCCAGAGTCCAAGGTGAAGGAAAGCGAAGCCGAGGGGTCTGGCGAGGGAACGACGGCAGAAGCACCAAGACTACACAAAGCAGGGGATCCTACGCCTGACGCAGCAGGGGAGGCTAAGCTAGGCACACCTACACTAGGCAACAGTGAGTAATAAGTGGGAAGCACACAAGAGTTATCAGCATACATCACATGCAGAGCAGAAACAATGGCATCCATGTCCATATCAAAGATCTGAATCTGACGACTAAGCAAACTGTGCCAGTCCGGGAGGTCTGGCGACGGGCCGAAACGCTGACGAAAGAGGTCGTCCAGGCGACGAAAGCAGCGGGGAGTGGAGTGACCGATCTTACCGCAAACGAAACCGCGGCGAGGACCGGTCTGGATCTGGTACTGACAACGCCCGCCGGCAGAGCCACCACGCGGCACACCACCACGCGCCCGTCCACCGCCAGCGCCGGGCCACCCTGGCGGGAGAACACTCGTCTGCCGCGTCTGCGACGGCTGCTGCGGCTGCTGCGAAGGCTGCGACTGCGGCGGCTGCTGCGGCTGCTGCAACTGCAGGGGCGGCGACTCAGCTGGACTGGGCAGGGTCCCCTCGTCCGCTCCAGCACCAGGCGACCCGACCCCACCACTACCCCCGCCCGCACCCCCGCCGCCCCCTCCGCCGCGCCCAGCCTTGGGGCGGCGGCCCTTCCCAGAACGGGCCTGCGCTGCAGCAGCAGTCTCAGCCACTGCGGCAGAGCCGTCGGAGAAGGTACACTGAGCGGGGGCACAACCCTGAAAGATAGGGACCGGCACGACACCGCTCGCCTGGGCGATGGAGCGGTGACGGGTCTCTATCACAGTCAGGGTGTCGACAAAGTCAGTGAGGGTGAGGTCTGCGGGGTGAACACTAAGGAAGCGGTCGCGGGCGACAGCAAGGCGGTCAGGGAGGCGGGTGGCAAGCAGGTAGAGGGTAGAGGTAATGGGCGGCTGGTGGGCTCTAAGCTGTGCGTCAGTGCATGCGGCGCGCCAGGTCTCCTCTATCGAGCGCAGGTGGGCAGCGAGGTCAGAGACAGTGGGGAACGAAGCAAGGTCAGGAAAGAGCAGCGGGAGGATCAGGCGACCCACCGAGGCAGCCGGAGGGGTGGAATAGCGCTTGATGACAGCATCTAAGTATGCCTGAGCAGTAGTGAGGGACCTAAAGCGAGGACGCTCGGACGGGGGGAGGGCGTTGCTAATGGCAAGCTGGGCGACAGCATCGCGAGAAAGCCAGACAGAGCGCGCACGGGCAGTGGCAGCAGTAGACTCACGCTCAGTGGGTGTGGGGTCAGCGGGCAGAATAGCAGGAGGGTCTGGGCAGGGGAGCGTACCGTCAAGGTGTGCGGAAAGCGGTTCACCATCCTGCCGCTGGCCAGTGAGTTGGCGGCGGAGGTCGGCAAGCCACGCCTCGAACTCTAGGGGCTGACCTTCAGCGTCGAAGCGAAGCTCCGCCGCCATCAAGAACAGTCCAGTGCTGTGCAGGGCGGTGCAGCTAGGTGGGGTGCGGTGCAGTGCGATACAGTGCGGTGCAGTGCGGTGCAGTGCGGTACTGTGCGGTACAGTGCGGTGCAGTGCGGTGCAGTGCGGTACAGTGCGGTGCAGTGCGGTGCAGTGCGGTGCAGGGCGGCACGGAGCAGGGCGGGGTGGGGGGGGGGGGGGGGGGGGGGGGGACCGTACTAGTGAGGAGGACGGGGCCGGGGCTGGCCCGACGGGGCCGGGCGGGCGCGACGGGGCCGGGCTGATGCGACAGGGCCGGGACGGGGCGACGGGGCCGAGCGGGCGCGACGGGGCCGGGCTGGGGCGACGGGGCCGGGCGAGTGCGGCAGGGCCGGGCCGGTGCGACGGGGCCGGGCGAGCGGGACGGCGGCCGAGCTGGTGCGACGGGGCCGGGCGGCTGTGACGGGGCCGGGCAGGGTGCGACGGGGCCGGGCGGGTGCGACGGGGCCGGGCGGCTGCGACGGGGCCGGGCGAGCGCGACGGGCCGGGCAGGGTGCGACGGCGCCGGGCGGGCGCGACGGGGCCGGGCGGCGGCGACGGCGCCGGGCGGGCGCGACGGGGCCGGGCGGCGGCGACGGCGCCGGGCGGGCGCGACGGGGCCGGGCAGCGGCGACGGGGTCGGGCGGGCGCGACGGCGCCGGGCGGGCACGACGGGGCCGGGCGGCGGCGACGGGTACGACGCGGCCGAGGAGGGTCGCTACGGGGCCCAGGAGGGGCACGACGGGGGGCCCAGGAGAGGCGCTACGAAGCCCAGGAGGGGCGCGACGAGGCCCAGGAGGGGCGCTACGGGGCCTGGGAGGGGCGCGACGGGGCCTGGGAGGGGTGCGACGGGGCCCAGGAGGGGCGCTACAGGGCCCAAGGAGGGCGCGACGGGGCCCAGGAGGGGCGCGACGGGGCCCAGGAGGGGCGCTACGGAGCCCAGGAGGGGCGCGAAAGAGCCCAGGAGGGGCGCTACAAGGCCTGGGAGGAGCGCGACGGGGCCCAGGAGGGGCGCTAGGGGGCCTGGGAGGAGCGCGACGGGGCCTGGGAGGGGCGCGACGGGGCCTGGGAGGGCGTTACAGGGCCCAGGAGGGGCGCTACGAAGCCCAGGAGGGGCGCGACGAGGCCCAGGAGGGGCGCTACGGGGCCCAGGAGGGGCGCGACGGGGCGCTACGGGGCCTGGGAGGAGCGCGACGGGGCCCAGGAGGGGCGCTAGAGGGACTGGGAGGGGCGCGACGGGGCCTGGGAGTGGCGCGACGGGGCCTGGGAGGGCGGTACAGGGCCCAGGAGGGGCGCTACGAAGCCCAGGAGGGGCGCGACGAGGCCCAGGAGGGGCGCTACGGGGCCCAGGAGGGGCGCGACGGGGCGCTACGGGACCTGGGAGGAGCGCGACGGGGCCCAGGAGGGGCGCTAGTGGGCCTGGGAGGAGCGCGACGGGGCCTGGGAGGGGCGCGACGGGGCCTGGCAGGGGCGCTACGAAGCCCAGGAGGGGCGCGACGGGGCCTGGCAGGGGCGCTACGAAGCCCAGGAGGGGCGCTACGGGGCCTGGGAGGAGCGCGATGGGGCCCAGGAGGGGCGCTAGAGGGCCTGGGAGGAGCGCGACGGGGCCCAGGAGGGGCGCTAGGGGGCATGAGCGGAAGCGGTAGGTGGGGGGGGGGGGTCCTACCTACGCGTGATACCATATCAGAATAATTGAATAATTGTAAAGTGAGAGTACACACAAATATATCTAAGTTTTGTATCCTCTAAGAGGTTACTCTATACAGTCTATACAAACATGACAAATACACATGTTTGACACAAGCAGAGTAGCGCGGTAATGAATAACGAGATGTTCACTCAATGAATGACGATACCGTATTCCCCCGGATAAAACACCCACGGGTGGCACTAAATTTTGATGCAAAATTTAGTGGGGGTGTAATTAGTGGCACTTTTTGTATAACGCCCGGGGGCTATGGAATGACAATTTTATGCTTATGAACTGGAATTGAACTGTGTTGTAGACAGTTCTTTTGTGCCGATTTTTTACGATTCCTGCTCGTGATCGCGTATATGGTGAGGAGGACCATCGTCATGCCACGTTGCAGGCAAACAGTCATAGGTTGCCTGCGTCACAGATTGTCACATTCTGTCAAATCGTGGTGGCAAGTGGCAACCTCGACGGGAATCAGGCTCGTACAGTATCGTGGTGGCAAGTGGCAACCTCCCATGAGTCTCGTACAGTATCAGGCTCGCAACATTTGCCTGATACTCGGGAATTCTAGGCATGGTAACAGTTCTACACCGCATTGAACCACTTCGCGTCTAGCTTGCACTGCTCAGTGACGCGCGAGTCTGATAAGAGACACTCTGATAAGAGGCAAAATCTACAGAACTCCATTGAAAATGAACCAGGGGGGTGGTGTATAGGTTTCATGCCAAAAACTAGGGTGGTATGAATATCCAGTTTAATTAAGCACCCAGGTCCGCCCAAACCACCCATGGGTGATTAATTCCGGCGGGTGTTTTATCCGGGGGAATACGGTACAAGGAATGGCAAGCCAAGATATAGGAACACCAGAGCTAGGCCAACCATGCGATGGTAAGGTTCGGGAAGGAGATCGAAGGGTCTCGAAGTGACGAGGCGAGGCCCGGAGAACTTCCGAAGGTCGAACCGAAAGGTCTGGAGAAGCCAAGGCTGTTCTGTCAGAAGGTCTGGAACTGTCCCGAGGCTTCGAGTGTGTTCGAGCGTACGCGCTAGCAGTACCGCTCGGTAAGGAATGGAAAATTCCTTACACCACCCCCCCCCCCCCTTAGCGAAGGTGATCTATATCAGCGACGTGCTTGCGGTCCAAATAATTCGCAAGTATCGAAGGTGACTGTATCTGGTCCGAGGGCACCCATGTGTCCTCCTCACTGGTACGATTGGTCCATCGTATCAGAAAGTCAACGTGTCGTCCTTGACCGTTGATACGAATCCGATGGCTCAAGATCTTCGAAGGCTCGATAGTTGTCTCGGCTGGTGGTCGTACGTCGGGGACCAATCGCTGTCGGGCGATGTCCGACGTGTCAGGAACGAAGGGTCGCAACAGGCTCACATGGAACTTGTTGTGAATACGCCAGTCATCAGGGAGGCGCAGCTGGGCGGTCACCGGCGTCACCATCTTCACGATCTTGAATGGGCCACAGAAACGTGGTCGTAATTTTGTCGGTAGTGGTAGTCGTAAATTCTTGGTGTCCAGAAGGACTAGTTGCCCTGCTGTCATCGTAATATCCCGGCGATGTAAATCCGTATACCGTCGGGCAGTTGCGTTCGCCTTACGAATAAGTTCGACAGCTTTGTCTCAAGCAGTCTGTAATTCTTCGACGAACTGCTGCGATCGTTGTACTTGACTCTCAACGTTGGTGGAGACTGGTACTGTAGGGTCCATCCCGTAATTGAGATAAAACGGGGAGTGATTAGTCGTAGCCGAGGGCGCGTTGTTGTAGGAAAATTCCAACATGGGCAGTACGTCCTCCCATTTTTTTCGGTCGGGGCAGTTTGTCCGAATTAGCTGCTCCATCGTTTGATTTGTCCTTTCCGCCTGGCCGTCCATTTGGGGATGATACGCGGACGCGTGCCGTACCAAGCCCACGTGTCCTGCCAAAATTTTGACGTGAACTTCGGATCTCGATCGCTCATGATTGCCGCTGGTATCCCGTGTAGGCGAACGGCGGTCGAGATGAACAGGCGCGCTGTTTCTTCGGCTGTGATGGTTGTACGACATGGTGCGAAATGCGCCATTTTCGTCAATCGGTCGACGACAACCAAAACCGCGTCGTTTCCGCTGGGTCCGGCCGGTAGTCCCGTAACGAAATCCATCGTTACGTGTTGCCATGGGCGTTGAGGTGGCTCGAGGGGCTGCAACAGTCCTGTAGGTCGCTGGTGTGATGGCTTCATTCGCTGGCAGATCGGACACGCGGCCACGTAACGCTGCACGTTCGTCACCATATCTGGTCAGTAATAAAACCGCTGCAACGCCTTCAGAGTTTTATCAACCCCGAAATGTCCCGATAAATTCGAATCGTGGACTTCTTGAATTAGTAATTCGCGAAGTAGACGATAACTTGGGACCCAAATTCGATCAGTCCCGCTTCGTAAGTAATAGACGCCTTTCCGTGTAGTGATTGGGAGATGGCCGTCGTTTACGAAGAAGGGGTTAGTCGAATACCCGTGGGTAAATAGTCCACTCAGTAGCGGGTTGCTCTGGGCGACTAGTACTGCTGCGAGTTGGGCAGATGGTCTGGAAAGGGCGTCGGCAATATTGTTGGCGCCTTTTTTGTACGTGATCTTGTACGTGAAATTGGACTCCAGATAGTCCAGCCAGCGTATCTGCCGCGGGTTGAGATTCGGCTGTGCCCTCAGGTAATGTAGTGATTTGTGATCGGTTCGCACCGTCACGTCTGCTCCAGTCAGGTAGCACCTCCAGATTTTGAACGAGTGGACGATCGCCAGCATCTCCTTGTCATGTACCGGGTAGTTGCGCTCAGCAGATTGCATTTTCCGAGACTCGTACGCAATTGGTTGAAGCCCGTTGCCGAAATCCTGCATGAGCACTGCTCCGATGGCGATGTCACTTGCGTGAGTGATGACTTCGAAGGGCCGTTCCGGGTCTGCGATGCGAAGTACCGGTGGCGACATTAAAAGCCTTTTTAATGTCTCGAACGCAGCTTGCTGCCTCTCCCCCCACTCATAAAAAGTCCCCTTCTGCAGTAGGTCGGTTAGAGGTCCAGTTAACCCCGCCATGTTGGGTATAAACTGCCACACGTAATTCACGAAACCCAAAAATGATTGCAGCTGCTGCAGATTGGTTGGCGGTTTCCACTCCTGAATAGCCCGGAGTTTTTTCGGGTCTATGCGAATCCCTTCTGTGGAGATCACATGTCCCAGGAACTCCAGTTCTTGTTTTAAAAACTCGCACTTGGAGCCCTTGGTGATGAGTCGATGCTGCTGCAACCGCTGAAAAACCGCTTCCAAATCTTTTAAATGCTGCTCCCAGGTCTTGCTGTAGATCAGGATGTCGTCCAGGTAAATTATCACGCATTTGTCGAGTAGATCGCGGAACACCCCATTCATGGTGAGTTGGAACGTCGAGGGGGCGTTCGTTAATCCAAACGGCATCACCGTGTATTCGTAACTCCCGTAGCGAGTACGAAACGCGGTCTTGTGGCAGTCGTCAGCGAACACCCGAATTTGATGATAACCGCCACGAAGGTCGATCTTCGAAAAGTAGCGAGCTCCGCGAAGGTTGTCGATCAGTTCGTCCGTCCGTGGGATTGGGTAGCGCGATTTTATCGTTACCTGATGAAGGGCACGATAATCCGTACACATGCGACGTCCGCCGTCCTTTTTTGGCATGAACAGGATCGGTGCTGCGAATGGTAGCGTGCTTGGCTGAATGAACCCTTTCGCCAGCAGGTAGTCCAGCTGGTTCCGTAATTCTTGTAGCTCCGGTTGGGTCAGGCGCCATTGCGTGCATACAGTAGGCTGCGCGCTGGGCTCCAGCTCGATTTTGTGGTCCTGCGGTCGTTCGGGTGGCAATCCACTTGGCAAGTCGTCCGGGAAAATCTCAGGATATTCCTGAATGATTTTCGCCAAGTCATCCGGGACCGAGGCGCAGAGTTTGTTGATGTCGGTCGCCTCATTCTGCTTCGTCGATTTGGTTAGATGGACGACGTATAAATCTGCTCCATTCTTGACCGCTCGATTGAGGCACACCGCGTTGAGTCGTGTTGATGTTGTCTCTGCTTCCGGCCACGTGGGTAATTTTCGCCAACCTTTGTCGCACGTCACTGTGCACTCGCCTGTCGTCCAATCGATCTGCGGGTTGAATCTTCGCAGCCAATCGCGTCCCAATAGCACGTCGTAGCCGTCGAGCGTTGTCACCAGCATCGGCGCGCTGAACCCAAAATCGTCGCCACACTTCATTCGAACGACGGGTACTTTGTCGCGTATCGCCAGCGGGGTGCCGTCCACCAATCGTGCGTCGATTGTGGGCAGACACCTCTCCAGCGTCAGGTGTAGTCGTCGTGCTGTCTCTCGATTTATCAGGCTGTGACTCGCACCTCTGTCGATGAATATTTTTATTTTTCTTCCATGAAGTCGTCCTTCCGGCAGTACAGGGTGGTCCACTGGGTCATCCTCCTTTTTCAGCCGGGAGCGGTTGATAGCATGTATCGGAACCACTACTCGGTGGGGATGCTGTTTTTCGGGCGATGAGGCAGGGTCACTAGGGGGCCCGACCGCTACTGACGCTTGGCGTTTCCCGACCTGCCTTTGTCGTTCTTCTTTATCTGCTTCTTTCGGGGGCAATCGTAAGATTGGTGACCCGGCTGGTGGCAGTTGAAACATTGTCCCTTGCGAAAATCTTCCATGTGCTCCTTCGCCACTACGCCGTGAATCGTGGGCCGTGGATCCTGGCCACGAAAACGATTTCCCTCCCGGGAACCCGCTCTCGCATACGTCCGATGTGCGTCGAAGTTGTCTGCGATCCGGACGGCTTCGTGAAACGTCGCCGGTAGTCGCAGTCGGACCTCGCATTTAATGTCCTGCTTCAGACCCGAAATGAATCGAGCTTTCTTCTCGGAGTCATGCATGTCGGTGATTTGATCGCATAACGCCATGAAGACCGACGCGTAATCCTGGACAGAACTCCACTGGCGCCAGTTTTCCAGCTTCGTGCGTGCGTTGTCCGAGGCGGATATTGGCTCGAAACGTTCACGCGGAGCTGTACCCCACGCCCTCCACGTGCGAATCTTGGTCGATCCGAAAATCGCGGTTGACCCTCCACGCAGTAGTGATACAGCCAGTCGAATTTTTAAATCGTCAGCCGTGATCCCAGCGGCATTAAAATAAAGTTCCGCCGAAAATAACCAGCCCGTAACAGTAGTATTCTCATCTGTGGGGTTGAACGGGGGCGGCATTGTCGGTTTGATCAGCATAAACGCTGGTGCGGCTACAGTAGCGGCTGCCTCTGACCGAGCGGCTGCTGCTGTCGCTGCTGTTGCTGCTGCTGCTGCTGCTGCTGCTGCTTCGGCTGCTGCTCGTGCTGCCACGTCAGCTGCTGCGGCGGCTTCACTGTCCTTGCGCTCTTGTGACACCTGACGTGCGATTTCGTCCAAGACGGTTTCGACACGTCCGGTGCTAGCGATATCTTCTTAGGCGGCAGATTTCTAACGCGAATCCTCTCGCGCCTGGCGTAACTCAGCAACTTCCGCACGAAGTCGCTCGTTGTCCTCCAGCATTGTAGCCATGCGTGTGTTCATGGCGTTGAACTGCTCCGGAAGCTCGTTGAACTGAGCTTGGTCCATTTGGCAAATGCTCCACGGGGGCAGGGGGAAATCCGTAATGTGCCTGTACTCAGGTAAGCGCAAACGCTATCGTAGTTGGGCGAATTAATCAGTCTAATTCGCGAGCAACCGCTTTGCAGCTTACGTGAGGGACTTACCCCCCCCCCCCAAAAAATCAACTCTCGAAAAACGGGTGAGCGAGGAAAGTGGCTCT